ATTTTTTCATCAAATAGCTTGCAAGAGCTCCCATTTCTGTCACCGATCATATCCTGTAAATTGGTAGATCGTGTCCTGTAAATTGGTAGATCATATCCTATCAATTGTTCAACCCTGCTCATGATCTTTAGTCATGGACACAGCTCCAAATACTGAATGCCGTCAATTTAATCGCTGCATGACACTACAACGTCGTTTGACCAGCACATCCTGGTATATTGAAGGTCACCAACTTAAAATGAGAACTTTGAGCCCATAACGTCGAAAATCCAGTAGTTGAATACTTTCCTTTCTTATATCAAGTGTACGTTTATGAGAATGACGTAGGACGTTTTAACATCTGTTTTTTCGTCTGTTCATTCCGTTTCCTGAAGCTCAGGTGATGGAAGTGTCTGTTCGAGCCAAGTAATAACTTTTCCGTGCTACATGCATACCCCTAAGGTTATCCGGGGTGTCTTCGAATGGACGCCTGGATAGTTTCAACTCTTCCCAATAACGGCATAGGGATGACGTATTGCGCGAAAAGGAACCTGACGGGCATTTCGGGAGGTAATTCCCGCGATTCAGTCCACTACTCTGGCGCCGGCTGACATCAGACCGAACGCCTACCAGGCTATGTTTCTCAGGTCAGCAAGTGTGCACTCACCGGATCTCAGTTTCGGGTATCGCAATCTCTACGTATGGAGTGCGACAGCGCCTGTGTCTAGCACCGGCCGTGCGTCCAGTGCGTCTTCTTCAGTGGTGGTAAAACATGATGGATTGGTGGATGAGGTCGGCGACAACGATCTAAATTTCCTCACGAAATCTGGTGCCAAGATGCTTTTGACAGTTATCTTATGCTATCTATGTTTTGAATGTTATGTTAGTGACGAACACGACAAAATAATAAAGCACACACTGGACAACCTAGCATAAGGCCTACATGCATATATATTATAGCTCCATAGCAACCCGTTCCATCACACAACACATGCAGACCTTTCCTTAGAAACCCTTACTGTGCCTTAAATACTTATGACATGCCATTGTTTTTTCGGCTTTATCTCAACTTGGCGACAAAACTATTCTATGATTTTTAGTTGGTGGCTCATCTCGGTGCCAGATCGGTGACAAATCAGTGTATTTCCTATGGCTCCCCGGTCAGTCGATTCGCGTTTGGTGTCAGGTACCAGCCGACTCTCAGTGCCCCAAAGAAAACAGCATCAAACATTGAAAAGATCTAAAAATGCGGATTCATTTGGTCGTAAGGGTATGTTTCAATCGTTTCGCTGCGACAGGTGTGAGGGGGCAATGATTTTCAATGCGCTGCGACTTTGCAAGCGACATCTGCAATGCATTGTAATGAATATCTGCCTATAATTTTAATTATTTTCGGCCAGGCTTGCTTTGTTTGAATCAGCGTGAGAGTTAAAATAGTTGGCTATTATCCTTTTTATTCAATTTACATACGCTGGTGTAAAAATCTGCATTTCACATCGTGGAATCAGCCAAGAAACTGTTGAATGTTGTAACGGTATCAGCCGTTCGCACACGGTCCACGGAATTGTCGCTTGTCGCCGGCCGCAGCGAGGCCAAAAAGATGTTTTTGGTGTCAACACACGCGAAATGGATACCCCAGAAGCTACCAAAGGTTTGGACATGACCATACAATATGCGGCACTGGTTTCGTCCGAAAACTTTTTTTGGGGGGGGATGTCGCATTGCCCCACTCTCCCCCTCCTGTCAGGGCGAGTATGTTGTTTGGAAAAGATTAACAGCCTGATGTGAAGCCATCAACAAATTTAAATACGACGTACTTGTTAGGGCACGGCGAAAGGCGCGCACCAGGCAACGCATGACGTGCCAGGCTTGGAGCGTGGCTAACGTATGGTGGAGAGTTTGATGGCGGCGGGTACGGCGCTCGAAGCGCACGCGTGATTTTCAGAAGACATGGTCTCGAGGAGGTCCGCATATTGGACGTCATCCCCCAAGACTGCCTGCCATTGGTTCGAATTCTGTCATATATTTAGCTGCCCTGGATATCGAGGCTCTCCATTGTTTTTTTTCGCGGTCGAGGAGAGCAAATCGAGCAGTAGATTAAGTTCAAACGTGAGGTCCGACAAGTTGCAAGGGTGCAAGAAGACTGCTGCTGTGATTGGGCTATCCCGTAGTCTAGGGTCGGTTTGTCTGCTTTCTTAGCAATAACAGTTATCCTGACATTAGTTGAAAGACATCGTTTAAATAAGCGTTTCGATTGTGCTCACGATATTGAAAAATGCTGTGATAAGGCAGGCACTCGGTGATAGGCCCATTCCTAATGGAGCTACAGGGCATGGACTATATAGCCATCTTATGTCATATGGTGTCGCGTTTCTTTGCTGGCGACAACTTTGCCAACAGGAATTAGGTCAGCGACAAAAAGTACAATTTTACCACTCCTGATCTCCTTTCCCAATGCACCTTCAAAGGGTCATGGGTTGGAACATCATACCCTTGGTGCGCGGAATTAAGCGCACAGTACTCATGCTATAGACTCATGCTGAGTATAAACTGTGCCTATCACAGTTCCAACTCAGCTTCTGCCTGCAGAGCCGGCGGCGGACGGCGTCACACGGCGCACACCACGGAGGAGGCGCCTCCTCAGAGTCCTCCCGATGCTGTCCCAAATATCCCGATGACCCCATATATAAATATGAATGAGAAAGAGGGGGGGGGGGGCTGGACGGTTCTTCGCGGCAAATCAGGCATGAAGATGAAGCACAGATATTCATTTAAACTCAATGCTCATTTCCATCACAAGCAGCGGAGATGGCATCGCAACTTACACAAGATTCAGGAGGTGGTTTTGCTCACGGCGGCGAGATGAGGAGGCGCTAGCGAAACTCACCCAACCCTGTGCCCCGATGCCACATATGTGCTTCGACGTTTAACCGCGAAACCGCGACTAGCAAACGAACGCACGGTAAAGCTAGAAGTTCCCGCCACTGATAACTGAGCTTGAGACATTGAAGTAAGTGAACTGCTCTCGGTTATAAATGTAAGGAATTCTATCAGTGCATCTCGATGCATGTCCTTTCAGCTAAAGCTAGTCTTGCGAATTTTAACCACTAACACTTTCCGAAGCCCAATAGTAGTACAGCAGAACAACCTATGTTCGTTCTGTAGGGAGATCCGGAAAAACTAAAAACTGTTATGTTTGTAACCCGAATTTATTAGAGATTATGGGATGAAATTTCTCGACATTTATCAGGATATGGGTTGGGACAACTCAGCAACAAAGCAAAGATATTCGGTGACTGCAACAGTACAGTTATTGCCCATATTGTCACAATAGCAAAATATGTTGTATACGATTCGAGACGTCGAGAGAATTGCCCGTACTTTAATTAATTTAAAACGCTGCTCAAGTGAGACATTAATACTGAAAAATATATGGCCAGAGAGTATGGAAAATGGATAGTTAAAGGAAAATTGAAATGCTTTATGTACATATCTTGATTCTAATACTGAATAATAGCCTGACATAGTTTCGATATGATTGTCAAAAGCATCTCCATTTCTTCTCCCAGCCTATACCGTGCCTTGCTTCCTCCACGTCCCCGTAGTCCTGCTGTCCGCCTCGGCCTCTTAAGCGTGCCGTCCGGTACTGCCGCGGCTGGCTGGCTGGTGCTCCGGCCCGAGTCGCTGCACTCCCCACAGTGTGGCCCTATCGTTGCCGCTGATGCCTCGCGCCTATCAGGATGGCCCCCCACCCCCGCCCCCGACTTTGCTGCCACCTCTCTGCTGCCGTTGCTGCCGCCGCCGCCGCTCCCGCCTAGCTGTGTGCGGCCGCACTGGGTCACACGGCCGTGTCGGGCTCTGGTGAGATGTCTGTTTCGCAGAGTTGTGTGTCTATAGCTGAATGATGGATGTCACGATGTGATGGGTGTTCGTTTGCATATTATTTTGCATAGCTTGTGTCTTTCGCTGACGATACTATTGGATCTGCAGGGCAGATGATGGCACGGTTTTGCTGACGGTGTTAGGCTGGTAATTCATTTCTCGTGTGGTCGCATGAATTTCGGCTATTTATCTGAAGTAAACATGTAAAATTAGAACATGAAAATGAGTAAAGCACATTGACAGAAAAAGAGATGCCCGCCGGCCTTGACTAGGTGCCTTGTGTGAGCCCAACACAGGCCGTATTCGATCGGATCATTGACAGAAAAAGAGATGCCCGCCGGTCTTGGGCAGGTACCTTGTGTAGCCCAACACAGGCCGTATTGGATCGGATCATTGACAGAAAAGAGATGCCCGCCGGCCTTGACTAGGTACCTTGTGTGGGCCCAACACAGGCCGTCTTCGATCGGGATAGTTCGCACTACAGATAGGTAGCCGATGCATCATCCACCACGCCCCGCTACCATACGAGGTTTTGATATTTTTGAGGTATGGTGTATTTGGGGCATTTCATTATTTCATTTATGATCATATTTTGACCGCTGCCGGTGTCTCACACAACCAGGAGCGTGCCTTTTATGTCGTTGGAGCGTGCCCTTTATGTCGTTTGTCGTTCCATTGCCCAATCGGAGCGCCTGGCTGGACGGCCCTCGTCACCGACGGGTGCCGTGGCGGCCGTCGGCAGGGCAACACAACACGGGCGCGCCGCCGACCACCCCGTCATCAGCCAGTCAGCCACGCCGCGTCGGCTTCTAGCCATGCCACCCGCGGCGACACCGCCGCTGCTGCCGCCGCTGCACCTGCTGCACCTGCTGCTGCTGCTGCTGCTGCCGTCCGGCTCACGGGGCGCCGTGGAGCTGCACTCGGCGGCCGGGCAGCACCGGGCCGGACTGCTGCCGCTGACGCCGCTGGAGACGGTGCCGCTCGGACCGATGATGGCCACCCGCGCCCACTGCCTGGCGCTCTGTGCACGACGTGCGCCCGCCTGTGTCAGCTTCAACTACGGCCAGCTGTCGGCAGAGCTGCGCGGCTGCCAGCTGCTGGGAGCGGCGCTCTGCCGGTCCGGCGGCGGCTCGGCCGAGCTGAGCAGAGACGCCGGTGTCACCTACTTTGACTTCTACCCCGGCGTGGCCGTCGGCGTGGCGGAGGTGAGGGTGAACCCGGCGACCGGGCCAGGCGCCGCCGAACGTTTAGGGGGAGGGGGGTGATGCGTCCAGAGTGGCCGAGATTAAAAGGGCTGTGGTGGCCAGGGTACGTATAGCAGGAGTGGACCAGTTAAGGTGGAATGGGGTGGCCGTAGGAGGAGGCAGTGAAGTGGTCGAGGCAAGAAGACTTGATGTAGGCGGGCCGAAGTGCCTTGGGTCAGAGCAATGTGTGTAATCGGCATAACGATGGACGGAATGGCCGGAATAACAGAGAGCACGGGATTTACCCATGACTTTTCGGAGATGAAAGAGCTGAAATAAATTTTAAATAACACGAGTTGTAATAAAATGGACAACAAAAACAAAGCAACTTGAAAATAAGTGCATTATATGAGAACAGTGATATCATGAGATGGGGCAAACAATGCGCACATCCTGGATGCCTACGCGCACTCAAATCCACTGGATTAGGACAGTTGCATTTACGTTTACCCCTGGGCTACGGCAGCCGCAATCGCCAGATTTAATTCGATGCCGAATACAAAGATAATTCCGATAAGCAGAAGTCACACCCATCGTTTGTCGTCAAATCTACTGAGTGCTGGGAATGATAGCAGCGAATTCTGCCAGGGAAGCAGGCTTTGCACCATAATCTCCCACTTCTCCGTCACGGCTTGGGTTCCATGGGGCCAAGTCCTCCAGCACCGCAAATGTGAAGTGACGATTAAGTGCACGACGATGAAACAAAAACACTTTCGGGAGTTCGATTTCCTGATTATTTTGTTAGACCTCTTGATATGTCATGCGTACCGCCACTGTAGATCCACATCCGGTTACTGTCTACCAATGCTGGCCCGGAAGTGCTATTCTTTTATGGTAAGGCAGCTCCGTCATACGCCAGCGATGTCTGCAAACGTTGTCAGGCTTTTACGAGATAAAGCATGGATCTCGTACAAAATTCTGCGATGTGCGGCAAGCTTCTAAAGTAGAGCGTCCTCATGGTGCCAGGCATTCATAAGGTACCCGGTATAAGGCTGGATAATTAAGCTCTTTGGTAACATTCCACGAACGTCACGAACACACACTTGTTCAAACTCTCAGGTGCTTAAACCAAAACACGGGCGAGCCGAAAAGTTTTGATGATTTGTGGCGAGCATCAATATAAGCATATGTGAGGCGGCGTTGTAAATCACGATGACATTATTACAACAACAATAGGACAACTATCTTAAAACGACATAACGTTAACAACGTTGCCAGGGCCGTGGGTTCGCATAATGAGTGGGGGAGGGGTCTGAACAGTGAAAAACGACAGCATACTCTCAAAATTCGCAGTAAGCAGATTTCTCCCAAAATTTAAACCGTTTTCTTCTTTAAGTCAGGCTGGGGCTCCAGTCCCCCTCCCCCCAAACAGAACAAGTAGGAAACTACACCCCTGAACGTTGTTCAAATTAAGTTCCGATGTGATGTTGATGATGAGTGTTCAACATAGGACGAATATTACTGGTGTGCAACAGCCCGTATATTTTGGAATTCGCACTGTATTTTACTGTTGATAAAATTTCCACAAAGTTGGCATTTGTCGTCCCATACTTCATTTGCCCGTGCCAGGCTATCATGTGTTTACCAAGTGGTCACTTTCCGCAGTTGTGAGTCTCCAAGGTGTTCATTACAACGGTCATGAACGCTACGTTTTGTTCTCATACTTGAAACGTCCTTGGCCCAGGTTGCGAGATATCCGAAATCCTGCGTTCTTCCGTCTGCATGTTCCCCTCAGCCGATTGGCATTTGCTTGGCGAGCCTGACTCGCAGATGTGCACACTGGAGTCTCAGGAGCTGATCAAATCAGCATGACCTTCAAGCCAGGACCACCAGCACACGCTGCCCTAAGGTCGTGCAACCCACACCATGGTGCGGAGGTATTTACCTGTTTCAGCACCTTGCCATTTATGAACGGGAGCCTCGTATGTCACTGTTCATCGGTTTAAGCTTTTGCGATTTTTTTCGCCAGCGTGCTGTGTTGTTAAATCTAGGACGTCGATGGTAATAGGGGCAGACTTCCCTCAACGCTCCGGATTATCGTTTCACGGAAAAGAAGGGCTGTCTTACATGGCAGGGGATCGACTGCGCTTACACGGCAGGGGATCAGAACATGCACGCACCATCCTCGGCATTTGAGGTAAAAAGGTTGTTTTCTCACTAGGTATGAGGCGCACCCAACTTTAATCCCGTATGGTGGAGTCAGCAACGGGTCTAAAGTACATTCGGTTGTATGGCGTTCACCTGGTTGGACCCCAAGTATCGAGGAATAGATTCGACACATTTTGTGCAGCGTATTCCCGAGTGGAAAATGAGTGTCGTGCAGCATATTTTTCAGTATTATGTTGCGAAGATATGCTGCAAAATGTTACCAGGGAAGAATGCGCAGAAATCTGACCTTGGGCTCAGTTTCAAAACGTCAAGTTTACTCAACATAATCAATGCCTAGTTGACAGTGACACTTAACAAGTATGTACTTCCTGGTGTACCGAAGGTTGATTATTGTCAAGATAAGAACTTCCCACTCGTAATGCCGAAATACCAGAAGCTCTGAGACATTTTTGCGCATGTCGAATTCTAACAAGTGTTTAGACGGTGGGTACGCTATTTTTCAAGACGGCAGCCCTGTTGACCCCCGGTCACCAGCCTTGATCTACTCTGTCCTTTTAGTCTATTTCTTTAGATGATTGTGCAAGTTTAGCGCCACGTTCAGATAACAGTTCATCTTGGAAATGTGCATGGAGCAGCTTTCAGTCATTCGTCTGTATGCACCAGCCCACGCCATTTTGAATAAAGGAATCTGTTTTGCGACTTGGACTTCCTCGAATGAACAATAAAGTAAGCTTCATTTTGTTGGTCGTAGCGGGACGCTTTGATAAGCTTTGATAAGTCTGCGAGTTTGCAGAATTTGCCTCCTTGTCCTGCACGGGAAAGGGATTTGAGCTTCGCTATGTAAATAGTCAACTGCAATATAATAATGCTGTTTTGTAGTGTTGCTGTCATTTTTTCAAAAGCATACAGACATGAAACAATGTGTCCTGATGTTTCAATGTAATCTGACGGAATTACAGAGCATGGCTGTGTTTCCGGGACGCGTTGTCAAAGAAAAAGTTGAATGATTCAGTTTCATAAGCTCGCTCAATTAAACTTACTGCTGCTGTTTGACTCTCTATGAAGAATAAATCAGGCTGGAATGAGAAAATGTTCGTCTGATCAAGGTGGAGTCGATTCCATTGATAAAGATGAGCTAGTGGTGGAGTTGTGTCACTTGTATCGCCTGCAAAATTTGAATATGACGGGTCTTACTGGATGCCGCGGTGTGGCGGTAGTGGTTGGGAGCATTCGTCGGAAGCGTGTCGTCCTGATGGCGTCAGCCAACTCGCCCCGTCTCGGCACCCGTGCCATATTTGTTTTCAGGCGTGCAATCACGGACGGTGCCTCGTAAAGGAACAACTCGTCCCCTCCGCAGCCTTATTAACTTCACGCTGGCGTCGATCCGGCGACAGCTGACTGTCGGACACCTTATTACATTCATCGGACATCATTCACGCTGTTGTCAGCACAGCGGTACCTGACCCTCGGGCACCCTGTTGCACTCATCAGACATGTTCTTCATAATGTTTAGCATATTCAAGCCATCCGTTTGGCAATCTGTCGGTGTTATCAACTTACTTAGCACAAAAATGCATTGAAATCTGCTTCGTTCAACACTTATACCTTGACCTACGCGACCTCTGATGATGACCTCATGTGACCCGGTGTAGCATGACTGACTCTGACCGTCAAACAGTCATTCGAGTCGATGGATAACTACAAAACAGCTCATAGCGAGGAGGCAAAGTGCGAGTTATTCCATCTGACAAAGATCGCAGTGCAAGTCTTCATGGGTGACGTCATGGCGTAGTTACCTGACTCAACATGAAGACATTTGCTTTGATACAGAAGTTGTCAAATTCACCACTTCCCACGGATCGAAAATTTAGTTTGCCTACCGCAGGGACTCAGAAGTTATTTTTGACACTCACGGGGCGTCACTTTACTCCACCCCACCCCAGGTGGACGCAGCTTAAGATAACTGCGTGATGTTGCCAGTTTCATAACGACTGATGGAATCGACCGATTAAGGCTACCAAAAAGGAAGCAATTTGATTGGGTGCAATTGGTAACCATGCCCTGATATGCCTGTTTTTCGGTTGTCCTACGGTGTTGGCTGAAATTTCAGGCACGGCACAAACGGACAGAAGCATTAATCGTTTTAATGGCCTTAGTTATCGACTGTGCTGAATATTTCAAAAATTTCCCTCCAGCTAAGACCAAGCAGTATTTTAAGTTACGTCATTACAGACCAGACACTACGGCACATTAAAATAAATTACACTACACGCAAACATACTGCAGTAAATTGTATATCAGTAAACTGCCCAGTGCATTAGCGAGGAACGTTATCCACATAGATAACACAATAGTGTTAGCCTCATTCTTCGGAGAGACCCAGAAGAATGGAAGCATAGTTGGGTTGATGTTTCGGCAACATGCCTTTATCGAAACAATAGCAGAAGAAACAAGGCATGTTGCTGAAATATCAACCCAACTATATCTCCTATTTCCTAGTTTTCTCCAAGAAACAAGGCCAATACTACTGTCTTAAATATCAGTAAATGGTCAATAAATAACGCGCAATCTAGAACTTCAGTAAATTTCCTATACCCTCAGCTGTCACTTCGTCATCGATTCCCCTTTCCTCTCCTGCTCATTGCTTCCCCTCTCCTTTCCTCCTCATCGTTTCCCCTCTCAGAAGCACCCATGTCCAGAATGATATGTTTTAAGACCTTATGATACCCTGACAGTCTGGCTCCGCCGAGATGCCTGGTTCCGTCGGCCGGCTGCTGATGGTGATGTCTGGCTCCGTTGGCCGGCTGCTGATGGTATTGCTTGGTTCCGTCGGCCGGCTGCTGATGGTGATGCCTGGCTCCGCCGGCCGGCTGCTGATGGTAATGCCTGGCTCCGTTGGCCGGCTGCTGCTGGTGATGCCTGGCTCCGTCGGCCGGCTGCTGATGGTGATGTCTGGCTCCGTCGGCCGGCTGCTGATGGTAATTCCTGGCTCCGTGGGCCGGCTGGTGCCACTGTCCACTGTACTGTCCTCGTCTGCCTCAGAAGGACTGCTGTCCCTGGACATGGCAGACGAGTCTGACCGCCGCCAGCAAAACTCACATTTAGCGAAACAGGTGCGATTGGAACTGTGCTGTTCATCCCGCCGCCGTTTGTTCCCCGGACTGCTGAAACTAAATGGACGCTCCTTCCGTAGTGTCCGGGCGTCACGTTCAGTCAAACTGCGAACTGTATCAAACACAAGGTACTGCGCAATGGCCTGTCACATAGCTACTCTCCCATAGCCAACAACAAAGCGATACAGAACATTCACTAATCGCCAAGCCAAGGAGCCGGCGCCCGACGCCTGGCCCTTCCTGAGGCGTAGAGAGTGGGTCAGAACGCATAATAGGTCATAACCTCGACATAATTAGAGCTCGCATTGGCCATCAGCGTCACTCGTCGCACCAAAGAGACTTTGCCACAGAGTCATTTCTGAATCGCATCGACGTAGATATGAGCAGCAAACTGTAATGGATTTGACGCGTGAGCAAGAACAACAGCACGAAACACCGCACAGTTGTTTGCGCCTTGTTATTGGCATATGCGTCATACGTCATATAAAGGTCTACATGCTCTAGTATATAAGCTAATGTGCTGCTGTTATATTATAACTGTTGTCACCGGAGTTTATATGCTTTAAATCGACGCTGAAATGACGCTACATCTACCAAGTCCAAGACAGGAAAACTCGTGATGAGCTATACTGATTAGAGTCGGTGTCAAAATCAACGGTGACGAGTCAGAATCAACGGTGATGAGCTATGAGCCAGAGTCGGAATTGATGCCACATAAATGCAACAAATTTCAAGCCTACATTTGCTAATATCACTATATTACAAGCATTTCAATGTCCATGACACAAGCCTCTAGCGCCAGTGTAGCATTGCAATGAGGTACGCTGGTACAAATAGTTACCAGCGATAACTATTCGTATGCAAATCTGCGACTTTTCAACATCCTTTTCCGAACGTTTGTGCACCATGCAAGATCAGCGGAGGCTATTCCTTGGCTTTGCAGTGATTCATTAATCCGCGAAACCATGTGGCAATATCCTGCAATGTTGCAACAATTATCAAAGTTGATCATTGAAGGATTTTCAGCAATATTGAGGAGGTTTGCGACAACCGCGAGATCCTGCGGATGATCGTTTCATGAGAAGTGACTTACATCATGATTCATTATGATTTGATCTATCCAGTTTAATCGCAAGATTGTAGGTGCTGACGCGGGCTGTGGAGTTCCAAGCGAGCCGCAGTACCAGCTTGCCTTGACATCTGTACTGTGTGAACGCGACGTGCGTACGAATGCATCTCGCGGTCGTGAGGCGCGTCCCTTTGTCACAAAATACCACAAAGCAGTCGCCTCGAAATGTATTTTGCGTCATAATTGCATGCAAAACCACTTACGTTCTCATTTGTCCGTGTTCTAAAAGTGTTTCAGGCTTTCGCTTAATGTTACCAAGAGTCTGGAGGACTTTTGTTGCTATACATAAATGTGACAAAAAGCCAGAGGATTTAGGGGGAGCGACGACAACCTTCCGCCGGCTGACGAGGAGTCGGTGCCCCAGTGCGCATGCGCCGCAGCCAGCGCTGGCCCCACTCTGTGTGTGTGCGAGACTGACCAGCGCTGGTCCGGCTGTTCCAGATCAGCCACACAGCGCTGTGGAGCGAGTGCCAGACGACCGGCCGCTGCGCTGTGCCGCTCTGCCGTAAGTGCCCTGGTGCCGCGCGACGTTGGCGGCGCGCAGTTCGTGCTTTGGGGCGGTTATTACCGGAACACAGCGATTTGCGCCGGTGCGAGCCTGTAAGCGCACCAATGCGTGCCAGCCAGTCTCGTAGGCCGGCCCGCCGTGTGCGTGGTAGCCGTGTCGTAGGCAGCACCCAGCCCACTGACGTGGATCAGTTATGTGACGGCGCCGTAATGGGTGCAGTGGGATATGTACCTGAACTGCTGTTTCCAATTTATGCCATGCCAAATGGCCCTTGACACGAGCGATAACCTGCCCATGAAAAATGGGCATGACCTTAGCAAAAGCGTGCGTTTTGTACACATTTCCACGCGTGGTCTACCTCCCGGGCGTGACTGCATGCTCAAGTGTGGGGGCCATTAGAAAACGGGCAATGCCTTCAGCTGCGGGTTCGGTCACGCCAGTTCACTATGGAGGTATGACAGATTTATTGTGCTTTCATGCTAAGTGTAAACAAAGTCAGCTACATGAGTTTTCGGGACCGACCGGGAATGAAATGTGAAAATGGGTCCACAATCTGACCCGAATGCTCATAAACCGTTTTTTCTAAACCCATTAATCCCCATAGCCATCTTAATGGCAACGTATGAAATGGTGTATTACCTACCTTTAACAAATCTATTCTATGGCAGGAATGTTCCACATTGTGAGGTATTAGAGCAAGCACCAGATACGACAAATAGGCTCAGTTACAGCTCTTGGTATACGTTTAAAGGGAGTGCTCCACAGTTGTATGGGGTTTTGGACTGAGGTAAGCAGCTTACAGCTCTGGCCTTTCTTAAGGCATACAACCCTCCAGTTTCAGAGCCGCACGCTCGCGAAGACATGCATACTATTTTCTTCGGATTTTTTCGTGCAGTCTATTTCAAGGGCATTCAGGCATGAATGACGCCATAGAAACGTCATTCAAATTCTGCTACCTCATTGGCCATGCTCCGTTCGAGGAATATGGTCGTCGGGCCTTTCATGTGTGGTGTTTGTGAGCACGTATAACGGTCGTCAATTAGTTCTTAGCCAACGTTGGGCATGCTTGAATAGTAACGTTTATTTTTTTGCTGGACCAGCAATGATCATTACAAGGCCATGGGATAAAGAAAAATGGTTAGTGGTGGGGCAGACTTGCATGTACCTGGGGGACCAACCGCCGAGCTTTAACCCGTACATGCTCGCTGGGCACCCAGTCAGGGTCCCCCTTCCCACGAGGCTCTCGGCCCGCCCGTGGCTGACCATGCAGCCAGCACCGGACAAGCGGGGTTTCGAGAGGATGCAGGATGAAGCAAGATATAGGGTAAGAGGGGCGGATGTTGAATAATAAATCACGCTTAGTGCTGCATAATACAAGGAAATAGACATCCTTACTAGTTATTACAGTAATAAGATTTGTAATTGAATGAATAAAGAAAAGCGCCAAAACCGAGCATGTGAATGCATGTCAACAAATTAAACTCAAGGGATAAATGTGCAAGAACATCACGAGAAAGGGCTGAAACACCAGCACATAACGATGTTTCGTTCATGACCACCACGGACGCACTTCCAATACCGCCGCGTTTATCTCCCGGGCCGTTGACGTACTACAGGTGAGTACTCGGGTGGCAGTTTTGCACGGCTAGTTTGGTAGCAGCTCAACATCGCACCAACACTACATGCCGTTCATGTTCACGTTCGTTCATGCGTGCCGTTCCTTCCATCATGCGTTCTATCGAGCGTTACATCACGCAAGACGTATTCAGGAGCATATTTGCTTAAACGAGAAATTGTGTTGTCTGGAACAGCCTTTTCTACTTAGAATTATGTCAGTAGTTATAAGTGAGCTTATTCCGTCATATCTGATGCTTGCTTTAACATCTTCGAACGTGGAACATCGTTTTAAAGGGGAGTGGTCCACATTTGCATGGGGTTTTGAACTGAAAAGCCATGTTGAAGATCATTCAGTGCAGTTCACAGCCCTGAGGTTCTCAAGACCTAAGCCCATCAAGTTTCTGGGTTAAACGTCCGCGAAGATGTGCAGACTACTTCGCGCAGACTATTTCAAGCTCACCCAGGCATGCATGACACCATAATAACGCCACCCAAGTCTTGCCATTCCATTAGTCTTGTGTCGATCAAGGCCAATCAAAATACCATTGTCGAGTCGTTCATATTTGGCGTTCGTGAACATGATTTAAAGATGGAACGGCCGCCAATTGGCTCTTAATCAATGTTACGCAAGGTACGATTACGCAATCAAACAATACCTTATTGCAGTGAATATTTATGAAATAGAGAAAATGTGCAGTCTAGAGCCGCATTTTTCACAAAAAACCGTTCCAAGAGTGATAATTGAGCCTATGTCATCATATGAGATGCTTGCCTTAATATCTTGAAATGTGAAAACTTCCCTTTAAATCGGAAAGACTGCTCCAGAAAGCAAAATTTAGCTATTTAGTAAACATGTTCCTTATTACATCATTGTTTGATAGTGTCATTGAACGTTTGTATGACGAGGTGCTGCAAAACTAGCCGTTTTGAAATTGCCACCCCAGTACTTACGTGTAGCACTTCAGCTCACCGAGACATGTCAGTGGTGGCGATGGGAGTATGCGATGACCTAAATGTCGTTATGTGTTCGCATTTTGGCCTTTTCTCGTGGTGTATTAGCCTATATATCCGGGAGTTTAGGGTGTTTGCCCGTATTTATATACTCGGTTTTGGCGCAGTTCTTTAATGAAGTGCTCCAGACAGGGAGTTTTGGCGATGTTCATCAGATATGATGAAATAAGCTCGCTTATATATGCTGGAATACTTTTATGTGGGTGAGACTGCTCTGGACGACGAAATTCCCCTTTTTGGTAAATGTGCTCCTTAAATGTCATAGTTTGATTGCGTCATGGAACGTTTGTATGACGTTACGGTGCTGCCAAACCGGCCGTGCGCAATTGTTGTTCAGCTCTAACTCGTAGCATTTCAAACTCTCCCTTGTAGCATTTCAAACTCACCGAGGGATGGCATTGTCGCTGAGCTCTAACTTGTACCAATGCAAACTCGCCGAGGCATGGCAAGGCGGCGCGGGAAGTCTTTGCTAAACCAAATGTCGTTACTTGTCCGCGTTCTGTCCCTTTGTGGTGGTGTTCTTGCATATTTGTCCGTAAGATTAAGAAATTAACTTGCATTCCCATATTTGACCGTTCTCCTTCATCCGATATCCTTGAAAGGGCCATTACTAGTCAAAAAGGCCCTGATCCGAATCACCAAGAACCAGTCGTGATTGAAACTTGCACAGCTTGCTCAACATTGGTTAACAGCGTATTGATGCCCACTACTTTTGGAAATGGTGCCCACGGACGCCAGATCTAACCGGCTTAACGATAATATTCTTCTTGGTCTTGAACGCGGCATGACCAATGGGATGGCAAGATTTGAATGACCTCCCTATCGCGTTATGCATACAGGGATGGCCTTAAAATAGTCTGCACAAAATGGTCTGCGCATCTTTGGGGCGTGCAGCTCAGATACTTGGGGCTTTTAGGCCTTATGAGGGCAGGGCTGTGGACTCCGCCGAGTTATCTTCAAAATGATTATTTCAGTTCAAAACTCCCATACAAAGTAGGACAATCCTTTTAACACGCGCCCGGGTGACCGGATAGACACCCTTCGCTCGGGTGGGGGAATAATCTGACCCCCCTGAAATCTCGTAAACTAAGAGAGCTAGACACACAAAACTTGCAGGGTATATTGATCTGTACGTGAACTCACTCAGGTCAAAATTTCAGCTTCCTAGGTCATGGCCTTTGGGTAAAAAAGGTCAAACAAGGTCAGGTTTCAGGTTGGTTTCCTAAGTGCCCCCGGAACCTAGATAACCGTTTCTAAACAAAAGGTTACGTGCTCATTCAAGGTCAGTGACCTTGTTTGACATTTTGAAGGTCAAGGCAACCAAAATCATGCAAGACTGTTCTGAGTTCTGCATTTGACTAAGCGACAAAGATTACGTCAGGCAGCATGTTTCTAAACCAAAATGTTGACCTGGGTCATTTCAGGTCAACGACCTAACCGGACCTCTAAGAAGTCCATGGAAGATGCATAATGCGGTTCCTGCTTTCAATAAATTATAAATGAGCATTAGAAACTATCCCATGCAGCAAGCTCTAGAGTAACAAAACGGGTTGGTTTTGACCTTAGTGTGAAGTTCATATCTGACCTTAGGTCAATGTAATTTGCTCATTCAACTGTTGTGTTGCCTAAGAAAACATCTCAGAGAAGTATGGCTTCGTCTAACACTCCGTTGTTGGATCAGATTGAAGGATTCCCTGGAAATTGCCTTCGCTGAAATGACGGCCTGACTTTGACCTGCCATGGTCAGAGACCCTACAATGTACATCTCAATTTGTGATGCCAAACCATCCGCTATTCAATTATCTACAGCTATGCAAAATTTGGCGCGGCTACGCCACGCCGCTCGGAAACCATTCTGGAAAAACCTTCGGGGGGGGGGGCAATTTGACCCCCACCCGAGCCCGTGTTAACCCACCTCTAGTCGGTGGGGGGAGGGGGGGATGACTTACCTCTACGTTTTTTTCGAGATCAGCCCAGAAACGAACGCTTGCAGCAATTCAAAACTGTCACCACCTGTTCATATATGACTTTGGCATCCTTGGTGCAAATGTGAAATTTTAATTTAGCAAGACCAGTGATCTAGATCAGGTCAAAGAGGCTAACCCCTAAACAACTTTAACCAAGCATAAATTTTTTGTGGGATATTTGTCATTGTTAGAACTTCCTATAGGAATAGAAGATGATAGCACTACAATTTTTATTTCAGATTTTTCAGCAGATTCGAAATTAGTGATATGAAGTCAAGTAAAAACTTTCTATTTTTGTCAATAATGCAAATTTGTACGTACTTTTGCTAAGCTTTGGCGTTTGCGTGTGAGAAAAAGAATACCAACTTACACGAGCAACCATCATCTGAATACAGAGTTCGTGACCTCGGGTCAGGTTATGACCAATCTCTATGGACACCTTCTATAAAATGCATGCCGAGCTCATAACAGGTCGTTTTATTTGCACAATTTTGGACTCAGAATTCAAACACTGCACTGAAACATGTGAGTTCATTGTAATATACGCTGAAATCACAGCATGTCATGAAAGGACATGCAAGGCCATATGAGGTCATTCAAGGTCGACGACCTGTGCTGCCAGTAGTAGGGAGGCTACGTAAAGGAGTACGGCACGTGTAACCGCCTCCTTATCGTGATGACCTGTGCTGCCAGTAGCAAGGAGGTTAGGTAAAGGAGTACGGCACGTGTAACCGCCTCTTTATCGTGATGACCTATGCTGCCAGTAGTAGGGAAGCTAGGTAAAGGAGTACGGCACGTGTAACCGCCTCCTTATCGTGATGACCTGTGCTGTCAGTAGCAGAGAGGCTAGGTAAAGGAGTACGGCACTTGTAACCGCCTCCTTATCATGTTTGTGGCGCTGATGACGTCTAATGTCATGTACCAACGTACCTGTTCTGTTTGTTACAAATTCGTTGTCAAGCGTTGAAGGGACGATGTGTAAAGGAGAAAACAGCCATGCGACCTTGAGTACCTGTAGATGTACAATGTACTAATTCTGACCACAGAAAAGCATTCTACTAGTCACATGGAACCGGTTAGCTCTTTGTGGGATATTTGTTGTGATCTTGACTTGTGATCAAATTTTCCGGTTGAGCGGTTTGTAAATTTGACCTAAGATGACCTGTCATGGCCTCTAGATCACCATAAAATGACATTTTTGTGTCTGCAATACTTTTGTCCCTCAGCTGCATCTAATAAACCAAATTAGCCAGAATATAAACAGGTTAAAAATATAAATAGATTTTTACCGCATCTATCGGAAGGACCGCTTTTGGCATTTCGTGACATCTGGTGACCTCACATTTAAGCTACAGTCAGAAATTTTGTGCGTATTGTTTATGATTTAAGGAAGCATTTCAAACGGTATCTTTGTTTTTCCTCGTACGGCGCTTGGAAGTTGGAGATCCCAAGGGGAGGTCAACTCCCCCCGCCGGGGGGGGGGGGGGGGGGGCCTGAAGCCCACAGCCGGGCGTGGGCTAAGGCTTTTAACCTCCTAATATTTTGTCTGCATAACACTGGAAAGTTCATAAACTTTTCGTTACTAGACCCTGCGGATCTTGGTCTTTCAAATTACTCAAAAAAACTTACTCAATATGTGAGTAGGCCGTGGTTTGGCGTGCGTAGGCAGTAGCCCATTTTGAAGATCAAACGTGTTAACCGTGATTATTTGCACGGTTGTGTACCACCAAACTTTTTTTTTGACCCACTAGAATGTCTGAGGCAAAATTACCCGCTTGCACGAGCAGCAATGTGAGCCTTTTTGCCAAACACAGGTCAGGATAAACGTACCATTTCACTGCGGACTGGTGGAGTGGTGGATTTACAAGATCGTGGCGCCTATCGTGAGTTCACCAGAGTGGGCAGATGTTTGCCGGATCGGTCGCGCGCGGCCCGCGAAGTGACCTGACTGTGACCCCGGTCTGCCTGCGCCGCCAGAGCCCGTGCTGGGCGACTACTGCACCAGCACCAGTGTGTGTATGGAGTCCATCACCAACGGCGAGTGTACAGCTGGCACGTGCCAGTGCCCGAGCCAGCACTGGGTGAACAGCAACGTCGACTGTCAGCCGGGCGTGCCGCTCACCGGCGCGTGCAGCGCCAACATCGAGTGTCAGGTGAATCCCCCCCCCCCCGCTCCTTCCCCGGACCCCTCCCTGCCGACGTCTTCTGAAACACGACAGTCTCAAGGTGTCCGCGGGGTCATTGTTAGTTTTCTGTACAAGCCGGTTACGTCAAAAACACAGAAACAACTTATGACTGGCGGATGGATGATGTTTTAAGTGTATTCTACTCTCGAAGATGTTTTGGTCGAGGGGCTCCTCGGCTTTCCAAGCCGCTCCGGTTATCTCAAAATCAAACATAATGTGGGGATGCAGCCCTTCTCTTCTCTTGAACGCAGCCGTTACTCAAACGCTCCAGTTTTTTTAGGGCAGGATCTGTCATTTAAGTATTGTAAGCTAACCTGCCATACGCCTTTATTATCACTTTAACAGCGAAGAATCAGCAGTTGGACTGCGATGGCAGCTTGCGTCGAGGTTATCGCTCGGCATCACTAAAGAGCGTGACCAATCGGACCCACCTAAGGCGATCGCAAATAAATGGACAGCCCAGAGGCATTATTTCCGTCGTGCGGTAGAGATCGCGAAATCGACTATGGGCTTAGGACAAAAATGATATTCGCGGCTAAGCAGCAATCTAATTTCACTAATCGTTTTCAGACCATTACGGAAAACAGCATGTGTGGTGCCAGTGGTACCTGTGAATGCGATGCAGGCTATTTTAACTACCAGAATACGCAATGTCTCCCAGGTGAGTTAATGAGCCACCTCATCCTTGAATCCTCTGGGTCTCTGCAACACATTGAATGGCACTGCAACATTTTGCCGTAAATGTTATCTCCGCTCTCTTTTCCAAAGCCGCGTTGCCTTTTTGCCGTGGTAGCGTATTTCGAATGGCGCGATTGAATTTAGGAGCGGTTCAAATCACTGTTTGACGATGAAGGACGCGGGTATGATGCAAACTCTGGTGAAAGTTTTGATTTAAATATGCGCAGAAAGGTATCACCAGGTAGACGCATCGACTCTGCTTGCCTCAGACCAAACGGATCGCTGGTGAGTATCCGCTAAGTTGCTGGTGGTTACCAGTCTGTTGTCGGGGCCGGCGCTGTCGATTGCGTGTTTGTTCCTCGGCCCCGGTCCACTGTCGAAATGGTCACGCACATGCAGCCTGTTTGGGACTGCAGTAGGAATTCGTACCCGGGGGAAATATGCGTGGTGCCTTCATGGCCGCATTCTAACCGTGCGTTTTGCAGTGAAGGCACTGGGGGACCCGTGCACGATGGACCACGAGTGCGGGGACGAGACCACCAAACACTGTCCGTCTGGATCGTGCGCCTGCCGGCCCAACTATGTCAGCGTGGAGGGCGTCTGCAAACCAGCCAAAAATCTGGGCGAGGCCTGCACCGTCAACGAAGAGTGCACGGTGAGATGGACTGCCCCCCCCCCCCCCCCGCTGAAGGGAGGCGGGCGTGCTGGGCTCCCGCACCGCACAGCAGCACGCCTGCTGTGCTGCCACAGGTGCTGCTGGCCTCCCGTACCGCACAGCAGCGCCTGTGGCAGCCGATGGCGACGTCACGACTCAGACAGGCCGATTTGTTGGAATTCATCACTTGCTTGCTTACTTCGCCTGTTTGCTTGTAGGACGCAGATACGGAAAGTCGCGGGAGGCGTGCGTTTTGTCGTCGCGCGGCGTGTGGCCGTGCGCTAGGGTGGTTCGATCCAAATCTGAGATGCCACGTGAGTTCATCGATACAAAGCTGAAGATGTCAATGACTTTATACGCGTTGCCCGCCCCCCCCCCCCCACCCTTCAAGCAATAATCTGCCTGACAAGGGGCGTACTACAGGGGGAGATCTGCTTGACCGGAGCATGCTACAGCTGGTCCAGGACCATCTCGAAACATATTTGCATTTTTTTTTCTGACAAAGAACAAACATTATGGTTCCATCTATGGTAGTTCCATCCATAGTTTTATCATGGCTACATTATGGTTACACCCCAGTGTTCTTCCTTGCACCTTAGTCATTCTATGGGTACTCACACTGCATCCTCAGCTGCCCAGCCTGCTAGGATTAAGAGCTCATAAGCAGACGTCGCTGTTCAGAATGCACACTCGTCGCTCCGCGTGCTTGGCACCACTCTAGCACGGCAGCTTGGCACCACGCTAGCACCCGGCGCCACGCTAGCACAGCAGCTTGGCGCCACGCTAGCACGGCAGCTTGGCGCCACGCTAGCACGGCAGCTTGGCGCCACGCTAGCACGGCAGCTTGGCACCACGCTAGCACCCGGTGCCACGCCAGCACGGCAGCTCGGCGCCACGCTAGCACGGCAGCTTGGCGTCACGCTGGCACGGCAGCTTGGCGCCACGCTAGCACGGCAGCTTGGCACCACGCTGGCACGGCAGCTTGGCGCCACGCTAGCACGGCAGCTTGGCGTCACGCTAGCACGGCAGCTTGGCGCCACGCTAGCACGGCAGCTTGGCGCCACGCCAGCACGGCAGCTCTGCGCCACGCTAGCACGGCAGCTTGGCGTCACGCTAGCACGGCAGTCGCACGACGCGCTACAAAGCATGGTACTGTGCTGCATGGCGACGTTTCATGGTTAGATACGTTTATTGTGGCCTCGGCACGAGCTTAATGCATTTCATTGTGCAAAAACATAATGAAAACACAATGGATGAAAAATATGTGCAAAGGATAGGCCTGATGCGTCAAAGGCGTAGTCATTCTCTTGGCTGCACAATGACGGCATGAATGGTGCGGGGGGGGGGGGAGGGGCAGCAAGATGATGATTTCATGGCCTGGGTACAACATTGTGCGTCGAAGGAAGTATTGTGTGAAAATGTAATCATACCATAGTGCTTTGGTCAACCACAACGGGAGGTATGTTGTAAGCTTTAATCTTTCGAAATTGGAATGATTGCATTGTCATAAATCAACATCTGTCATCTCCAGATAGATCAAAGCATGCTTGTAGTTAAACTGATGTCATGTGCAAACAGCTTTCATAACGAGCGTCGTGAGCACTTTATTCACACGTGAAGAATGCTGCGAAAAGTCGGCATGCCACAAGCCGCCTGAAGGGGCATCCTTTGATGGTTAAATGCTACAATTGGGCAAATAGGAATTGAATCCCTTTTCAGAGGGAAACACGATGCACGTCATCGTGTGCTCTTTTATGGAGCGCCTGCAAGGGTCATGTTAGCGCCAAGGGCCGTGCCACAGCCAGGACTCGAACTCGGACCCCATGTGGGGCCAAAGGCACAAGCCGCACGGCCGTTATGTGCCCAGGCTGACGTGGCCACTAACTTACCAGCCATATCGCGTTTTCCAGCCACGACTAAACCAAGTGTCCCGCATGCTCGTATTCGACAAGTAACGATGACGCTCGCCGGCGTCGCTCTACCATCAGCTGAGCCCGCTGTAAGCCCCGCTCCCGTTTTTTATTTGGGACTTGAAGCCTCGGAGCAGGCTTCCATTCGGTGCTGTAAGCCAAACCTGGCCGTTAGCATCGGCTCGCCGAAAAGATGCCCAGGTCCTCAGTCTGGCATGGCTCTGCGCAGCCCGATGGGTCCGCCGATGGTTAAGATTTCAGCTAGAGCGCTCCAAGGCGTAGGTCAACGCAGGGATAGCCATATGGAATGGGTAACGGGCTGGTTTGTGTACAAATTTGGGAAAAATTACAGGTTAAGGCAAATATGTGGGGTAAAACATCGTTAACATGCTGATCACGGACGCCAAGAAACGATAAAGCTTGCGTTTCTTTTCGTCATAATAAGCTCGATTTGCACTTTTCTTGCAATAATCAACGCAAAACAGCAAGTTTTCCTATAAACTTTTCAGAAACTCACCCATATCATAGGAATGGAGTCCTGAAAACTGCAAATGAATGGATAGCGGCCAAAGGATGCTCGTAACTAATTGATCATAGATAGCGGGTAGCGGGTGGGGTTGGGCACAGTTGCATGGGCTTAACGGGTTGGTTGGGTAAAGCATATATATATATATATATATATATATATATATATGGGGGGTTGAGCTGAATTAGTCATCTTGAAAACCTTTTGGTGTTGTTCACAATGCTGCCCGTGTGAAGCCCTGACCCGTCTAGTTTCTGAGCCACACGCCGGCGAAAATGGGGCAAGGTATGTCGGGGAAGTATTTAAAAGTCACCTTGGCATTTATGACGTCATGATAATACCATTCAAATCCTGCCATTCAATCAGCCATGCGACGATCAAGGGCAAACAACACATTTGTTGAGGTGTTCGCATCTGAGGTTCGGGAGCGCGATTTCCAGATATAATGACCGTCAATTAGCTCTCTATAAATGTTGTGCAAGGGACCATGACACGTCAAGCCATGACGCATTGAGGAGCGTATTTACTAAAGAGAGCATTGTGCTGTCTAGAGCAGTCCTGTCCACTTAAAAATATACCAATAGCTATAACTGAGCTTGTTTCATCATATCTGATGCTTGCTTCAATATCTTCAAATGTGAAACATTCCCTTTAAATGGCAGGTAACTGATGAGCTGTAAATGTAATCAATAACGCTCACCCTTTCCGCTGTTTGGCAGATGACAACTGCGAACAGCATCTGTTCTGGTACTTGTACTTGCCCTGCAGCACACTGGGAGCATAGCGGCACCTGCCGGCCTTGTGAGTACGACCGCATCTTCTTTACATCTCACCGAGCGGCACAGGATCGCACCGGCATCAACAAGTGCTGTAATGTGCTATGTTGCAATGTAATGTTCTATGGTGCGAGGTGAGAGATCTGATGTTGCAACCATTTAAATATTGACTGCTGGATGATGCACTGAAATAATACAATGCCACATGAGTTCATCCTTAAAGGGAGTGTTCCCCGTTGGTTATGGGGTTCTGAACTGGAATAGCCACTTTGAAGGTCATTCGGTGCAGTTCTCGATCCTACCCTTCTTAAGATCCAAACCCCTATAATTTCTGAGCGGCACGCACGCAAATATATGCATAATTTATTACGTCATCCAGATCCTGCCATTCCATTGGTCATGCGGTGATCAAGACCAAGAAAACATCTTTGTCGAGTCGTTCATATCTGGTGTTCGTTAGCACAATTTCCAGATACAATGGCGGTCAACTGGCTCTCATTCAGTGCTGTGCAAGGTACGATAACGTCATCAAACAATGACGCATTGAGGAACATATTTACTAAATAGAGAAGTTCTGTTATATTAAGGAGCCTTTTCCACTTAAAAGTACACCAATAGTTATGAGTGAGCTTATTTCACCATATCTGATGCTTGCTTTAATATCTTCAAATGTGCTCCATTCCCTTTAGCCCGCGCCCGGATGGCCGGTAAAATGCGCCGCGCTCGTGCTGTGGAGTGTTTATACCCCCCGCCATCTAAAGAAAACTACGAGAGCTATATGCACTAAAGTCATGAGAAAGGTAGGGCCATTCACCGAGTTGAGTGTGGAAGTCCCATATGTTGTGTTCTTTGTCTCGAATAAGGTTAAACAAAGTCAAGCCCCAGATCGGTGTCCGAAGTGCCCTCAGACATTTTCGCGCACCCAACCTTTGCCTAGATACCAGCTGTTAGCAGCATTATTGGTGTTCGCAACAGGCCAGTGGCCTTGTTTAATCTTTAGAAGGTAAAAATGACATTTTGGATTATGTCGCTATTTGAATTTAAGAACGACACGAAGCACTACCTCAGGCGGCACGCTCCTCAAAGCCAAAGGTTGATCATGATCACTTAGGGTCAGTGACCTCACCTGATCTTCATGAAATCAATATAAGGCATCTTTTGGAAATGAGCGTAAACACATCATAAAGCAAGCCCTCCAGTAATTTAGCTGTTTGGTTTTGACCTCGATGTGACCCCCACACCCGACCCGAGACCAATGAAATCGGCTGTAATCCCAAGTTCAGCAGTCCCAGTTGTCTAAGAAGTCATCTGAAATTTGCTTGACTTCGTCTAATACTGCATTGTCAACCATGTTGAAGCATTCCCAAGGAATCGCCTCCGCTGACAGACAAGGCCTCACTGTGACCTCTCATAGGCCAGCGGCCTTGAAAAGATCTGTATATTTTTATACAGAACGATTCACTATTCAATTGTGTGCAGTTATACAAGGTGTGGCGCGGTTGTACCACGCTGTTCGGAAATTATTTTGGAAAACCCGTTGGGGGTGGGTGGGTGGGTGTTTAATTGATCCCCACTTAAGCGCACGTTAAATTACCAAGTTAGCAAAGGAAATGGATTTACATGCAATGCTCTCTTTTGTTTCGCGATAAAATACGGGCGCACTCGCATCGCATTACCAACTAAGAAAAGTGCGGTATCGAAAGCCACCAGTACTAGCACAGCTCCCTACCTTGCAGCACTAGGTACCATGTGCTTCGCCAGTGCTCCCGTGCTCCCATCCACTTCGCACCTGGGCAGGCAGGTCACGGTCAACCCAGGTACCCTGGGGTCCACTACATCCGCGAAACGACAACCGCACGACAACCTATGTCTTGCATTTGTGTTTGCACATTCACTCTTGACGAAGTCGGACCAACATCTACGGCAAAGATAACGGAAAGCCAACACAGTCAGCGCGAGCCAGACAAAGTCAACGAAAGTCTGCGAATGCCGCTCAGAGGTGCAAGCCCATAGCTAGCTGTCCTAAGTAATCATTCAGCCCAGAACGCCATTCCCTACATGATATGTGGCGAGCGGATCGGTGGGATGCCCGAATCCCCCTCTATCCACCGACCCACTTACCCATTGACCCACCGACCTACTCGACCCGCCTGACCCATCTGACCCACCCACCGACCCGACCACCACGGCCTACTTGACATACCCAACCCACCGACATACTCGATCCATCTGACCCGTCTGACCCACTGACCTACTCGATCCACCGACTTTCTCAACATTCCTGACCCACCGTCCCCCTCGACCCATCTGACCTACCGTCCTACTCGACCCATCTGACCCAACGACCTACGCGATCCACGGACTCTCTCAACATTCCTAACCCACCACCCTACTCGACCCACGCCACTCGTCGACATACCTGACCTACTTGATCCACCCGACGCACCGACCCACTCGACACACCAACCCACTTGACCCATTCGGTCCACCCGACCTACTCAACCCACTTGACCCAGCCGGTCCACCCGACTCATTCGCCCGACCTGACCTGACCTGACCTGCCCAACGCCTCCAGCGGTGGCGTACGGGGGCAGTTGCACCTACGACCAGGACTGCAGCACCCACGACGCTCGCTTCGCGTGCTACAGCGGCACGTGCTCCGACTACGTCTGCTCGCCGGTGTCCGTTGGCGGTTGTGAGTATCGTCCCTGGCGGCCGACGCCCACCCATACTGCCACCCTGCTCATTTCGAGCGAAGGGTGTGTGGTATTAGAAGGGAGAGGTCGCCCGTTACTTCCGAAATTCGCTCACACGCTTGGCTGCGAGCTAGTTTAATTCATTTTCGTGGCTCAAGGCTTATCGGGCTTCCTCAAATCAACTAAAATGTACTTTCCCATGCTAAACGCGGGAGGGAATAAGGGCTGTTCCATCTTTGACCACATTATGCAACACATTCCCGGATGCAAGCTTCATAGCATCTAGATAATCGTCGTTAACTTCCACACCCAGAGCTTTCGGGGACGGGGAACTAGGTTGCTGAAGTCTGCTGAACATTGGCAGATGAGTACCGGCTGGCGGGCGGCACGAGCGCCTGCATCACGGGCCGCGTGGAGCTGCGCTCTCCGGGCGGACAGTGGGGCCACGTGTGCGATGACGGCTGGGATGACGTAGATGCCGGCGTCTTCTGTCGATCTCTCGGCTTCAAGTAAGCACTCCTCTGGCCGCGTCTACGCGCCGCGCGAGGGTTTAGGTATTACGTCTTGCTGGCCTTCAGGTACGCACGTGTCGCCGGGCTTCAGGTACGTATGTGCCGCTGGCCTTCAGGTACATACGTGCCGCCGGGCTTCAGGTACATACGTGTCGCCGGGCTTCAGGTACGCACGTGTCGCCGGGCTTCAGGTACGTATGTGCCGCTGGCCTTCAAGTACATACGTGCCGCCGGGCTTCGCGTACGTACGTGCCGCTGGGCTTCAGGTACGTACGTGTCGCCGGGCTTCAGGTACGTATGTGCCGCTGGGCTTCAGGTACGTATGTGCCACTGGGCTTCAGGTACGTATGTGCCGCTGGGCTTCAGGTACATACATGCCGCTGGGCTTCAGGTACGTACGTGTCGCTGGGCTTCAGGTACGTACGTGCCGCTGGGCTTCAGGTAAGTACGTGTCACTGGGCTTCAGGTACGTATGTGTCGCTGGACCTCAGGTACATACGTGCCGCTGGGCCTCGGGTGCGTATGTGCCGCTAAACTATGAGTACGTGTACTGCTGGACTGTATGCTGGACGTCTCTAGTGTCAACAAAATTGCGTTGTTTTTTTTCGTCATCTTCTATTAGCATGGCTTCAAGTGCGTGTACCCATGAGTCATACGTGCGTGCGCTTCTGGAGTACAGGTGTGTGCCCTGGGACTACCGGCACTTGTGCGCGCGCTGCACACTATTACTTGGAGTTCAGAAGTGGCGGAAAACTGTACCTCAGGGACCGATCAACATTGAACCATCATTTAGTGTTCATATCAAAGCCAGGAATGTTTCACCTGTTCTCTGACGACCTTGCATTCATATGTTCAGTTGTCCCTATCGCAGCATGTCACCCTGCAACTGTGGATGTTATCGCTCAGTTAACAGGTTGAAATAAGCATCAGCAAATGTGGTTATTTTCATCATGTCAAAATATCCTCTTGGAATGACGCAATAAGAGCATGAAAGGATGGGCTTTCTGACAATATCTAAGTTTCCTGACATCTCGGAATGAACGACGTGCCGTCGTTGGATGTGTCGCTTCCCCACGATCCCGGCTGATTAAGCACCAAGCTCATTTCCCCTTTAACCCGCCATTGTGCCACCTCGTTTCGCTCATTTGCGATGCCATGCTGTTTTAAAGCCCTGCAAGGACCCTGATGGCAGTCGGTGTGATCGCCAGTGACGCGCCGGAAAGCAGAAATCCAGGCGCGTGTCATCGAGTGATTAAACTGGTCCGTTGTAGGTCTTCTTGCGTTTTGCACTATGGGTATTCTCACAACCTTAGAATCGTTTCAGGGTCCGTTACATTCCTGACCGACGTCCTTAAGCGCCGCGGCTAAGAGGAGGGGGAGGGGGATGAGGCCGTACGCCGGTGGCGTGACGGTGCGGCAAGGGGCGCGCCTCGGCCAGTCGGCTGCCTCTGACCTCCTCTCTTTAACCGTGCTCCAGCGCCGGCACGTTCGCCTGCTGCTCGACTCACGGCTACGGCGGCGTCCTCAAGTTCCACATGGACGACGTGGCGTGTGGCGGCAGCGAGAACCATCTGATGGCCTGTTCCTACGGCGGCTGGGACCAGCACAACTGCGGCTCCTCGGAGGTGAGCTCGGTCACATGCTCCTAGACGGCCGGAGCGCCGGGCGACGTCTCGGCCGGTGCGGCCGTCAGCGGCGGGCCCAGCCAATCAGCGGCCGGCGTCAACAGCTGGCGCCCGCGGACGGTCTGTCGGGAGTGAGCAGCTGGTGCGCACTAGCCGGCGGTCTGGCCGAATATCAGCCGATAACCAACCGACCAGCCAGCCAACCAACTGACAAGTGATCTGCTGGAGTGTCAATGGCTGTTGCAGTCGGATCATATATCGGGCTGTCAATACGCCAAAACAGCGTGTGGTCTTGTCCTCATTTCACCAGCCTCAGGTCACCAGCCTGCACCAACAGCCGACCTATCGGACAGCCAGAACCACGGATTGATTACGTCACTGTCGACCGTCGCCAGTCACGAATCGTCACCAGTGTGACGTCACTGTGATACATTCGTTGGCCTGACCCATGACTCAAATCGTAACCGTAATTGTAGTAGTCTGAAGACTGTTGAGGCTGCCTGCCAAATTGTCGCCAGTAACTGGCCGTTGCCGGCGTGAGCTGCTCACTAGTTCGATTACCAGCGAACCGCACCGGTCTCCGTGATGACACGCCCCGATCTGACCTAACCTGACCTGCTCTACTGGCCTCTCTTGAGGCACCATCTGACCTAGGCAGCGGCCGACCTTTTGATGTGCCGATGAAAACGAGGGGCTTTTCCGCATACATCTGCCCGTTTGAAAGCAACGCGTGTGAGTTAGAACCGCCGCACGCGGAGATATTGTTGCTTGCCTTTTGGAGCCGTTTTATGTTCGTTATCGGCGGAATGATATACAATCCTCACGTCAAATTCTACAGCAAACACAACCGCAGCGACCCCGCGCTTTGTTCAAAAGCATTGCAGCATTGTCAAGCGGAGTGGTGTACTCTCAGAACTAATACACCATGCTTCGAGATGTGTTCAAACATCATGCGTTCTCCTAACTAATCTTAGGATGACCAGTTGTATGTTTGTGTTAGGCTTGCTACTTGCCCAGCCGTTTTTGTTCCTGCGCCAGTGTTATACCAGCTGCACTAATTCATTTGTTGTTCTTGCGTAATGCGCTTATTGACGACCGTGAAGAAGTATGTAGCCCAGCACACATCCCTACCTCCACTGATCACAGCGCTCTTAAATATGGCATCTATTTTCTCTCACTTTAACTTGCCATAAGCAATGGCTATGCCTAGCACTGCCCGTAATACTTTGAGCCGCAAAGCTCCTTTTTGGTCGTAGTCGCAACCCAGGCTGGGCGTTCTGTCCTGTATCGTTCGAATTAGGCTGACTGTATGACGGCGTCCACCGGCCATCGCTATCGGCTATCAATAAAACGATGCTTTGTACAGACCCATGTGGTTGTGTGCGATGTTTTGTGTCTCCTTGGATGGACTTATTTGGAGTTTCTGTGAGTTCAGCGACACGAAAAGCAGAATACATACTCGGTGCGCTTGGTATCCACCCGTTTTTTCGGAAAAGATGACGTCTTTTTTCAAACACGAAACAAATTCACAAAACGAGTATGAAATGAAAAATGCAGCAGCAGTCATCTACATTGGCCGTTTTCACCATGATGTACTGAATCGTTTTTTAAAGTTAAGAAATGTTTTATTCAATTTTAGTGTATACTAACTTCTCTGACAACGAAGATTGTTTCCATGCAATCATATTAGCGTGCAATGGATAAACCACATGTATCCAGCTAAGAACTAGTTTGTCAGGCTAAACGTCACCCTTCATAGACATTTCCTCAGCCCCCACCTTTAGCTCACCCGGATTTTAGGAAAATACTAGGCCTCGCAATCAGCACTGTGCATCGGTCGAAGGCCTTGGATGCCGGCCGCCTCATTATTGTTGACATTGGTTTTGTGTGCAACAAATCGTTCGTATTGGATCATGATAAGGTAGTTGTAAACTCTGTAAACATTACAAGCAGAGTATATAAGAACTAAGAAAACTTTGTAAGTACTGCATACATATGAACAGGGATGCTACAAAGAAAGACCAGTTTGTTTTGTCGCGTCTGAGCCAGAGATGCCACTGAATGTTTTTAGCGGAAGTTGAAAAATCGCGATAGAAAGGGATCTATCATTAGATATGTCCATTAAAGCATTATCTTACGTACGGTCTGCTAGCCGTTTTTTTACCAAATTATGCGTCTTTACAAACATGCTTTTTAAAATATTTGCGACACATTTTTAGCCTAAAATCGCTGATGAAAGGTGTGTGGTTAGAAAATAAACGCTAAAAAGGTTTAAAGGTTTTAAAAGTTGTGCACCGTAATTCTTCATGAAAGCGTCCAGGAGTTTGAAATGCTGCTTCCTTAGCGGGCTCTGTGTTGACAGGCTGATCGTGGAGGAGGATTGGTGACATAGGTGTGTTCCGTGGAAGTTTGCTTCCAACATGACCGATCAGTGCGTCAGAGGCGTCTTGGGGCCCAATTTTTTAGTGAGAATCCTCTAGCATCAGGCCTCCTTAGTATGTGACTTTCAAGCGGAATTAAAACTTTGCATTTCTTTGTCCCATGGATAGGGCAGTGGCATTAGCCTTATTCCTCGGAAAAACCGGGAAAATGGAGATATAGTTAGATTAATATTTCGGAAGCATACCTTTCTCGAAACAATACCGGAAGAATTTCGAGAAAAGCATGTTGCCGAAACATCAACCTAACTCTATCTCCTTCTCCTGCTTTTTTCCGAGAAACAAGGCTAATAATAATTCTTATCTATATGACTAATGTTCCTCGCTAATGCACTGAACAACTTACATGATTTCTTTGCCCATTTTAACCAAAAATCGGGAAAAAATGCACATGGTCTCATATATAATAATGCAATATTTTATCTCATTTCAACGTATACCACAGCACAAGTATAAGGCTTTTGAGGAGATGGCTAGTCGTTTCATATCTTACTGTATTGTGATTGCTTGGAGCTCGGGAAAGCCTTAGTAAAAACGGCACCAGTGCGTAGCACTGGCACATGTAAGTACTCTGAAATTCCTTTCGGCAATGAATTGCCAAGAAGTTCCAGCCGTCGGCACTGAACTATCAGCCCGGCTACAACCGGCTCAGCAGACTGCGACAGTAACGTTCTCAGCCGCTAGTGCGTCAAAACTAATCTAACGCTTATATATGAGCTGTGAAACAGAAGCCAAGATCCGCACGCTGCAACTTCCCTTGCCGCCACTCGGGACTCCGGCAGGATTTCGAAGGAAGCTATGTGAATGCCAAGCGTAATTGCCCTGTTGTCAGGAGACGCCTGCCTGAGCGTGCACTAACGGGCCGCCTCGAGATCTCTTGACCTCACCAGGGACTCCGTACTAGCTCGCTTCTATGGCTCCATTATGGCTCCACCTTAACGCGGCACGCGCTCCACGCGCCTGGGCCGTGGACCGATGACCGATGACGGCGCTGGATTTGTGACAGGTCAATGGACTCTTCACGCTACAAATGCGAGTTTCTTGAAATGCCGGATTCATATGAACACCAGGCCGTAGCAACTGCAATCAAAGTGAAACCATGCAGACACGGAACAACCTCTATGTGCGACCCAAAACGTCAGATTCTTATGAATGCCGGCGTTGTTCAACTGCTGCAACCGAAGCGAAACCCCTCAGGCAGGAAACGGTGGGGCCGCGGCCGAGTCCTCGCCGTCAGCGGAACACTTCCCGTCACGCAACCATTAGGGTTCAAAAGGTACGTGCATGCATACGTGCCAAGCTTGACGGTGGCAGTTATGGCATGACCCTCCGTTGCAGGTGCGGGGCCGGCAGGGTGAGCGGGTGAGTGGGCGCAGCTGACCTGCTGTAGGCACGCCAGCCGGCGCCGAGACACGCAGCCAAATGCCGTTATTTGGACATATATATATATATATATATATATATATATGTATATATATATATATATATATATATATATATTTATATACATAATATTAAGAAAATCAATAATAATAAATAAATAATAGAAATTAGATAAAATACTATGAATATGATACAAAAATGTAGGATAAATATTTGTATATAATGTATATACAAATGCAAAATAATAAATTGAATAAAATCAAAACTAAATAAGTGACAGAATAAAATAAAAACAATATAAAATAACATCATGCCACGTGACGTATAGCTTTACAACCAATTTTCGTTTGAAGTTTCAGAGTTGTCATTATTAAAGGTTTCCACCTATCTCTGAATCGCTCCATCTTATCATTCGCAGCTGTAGCACATTTTTCCACGCTTAGCACGCCGTGAAAATAATTTTTGAAACTCTTGATGTTGATGGCGCTATCATGAAGTTTGTGACGGACTGTTTGGTGTACAGTGCAATTAAGCTATTAACATCTAGTCCATGAATGCACTGAAAAAGTACATTTGCGTCATCGGCACGAGATCGATCCGTCCTGATCAATATATGTTATTCAGGACATCAGAGAGCACGACCTTCAGCCGAAGACATGAACAAAACTAATGTTTGAGCGCTTCCACGTTTGGTTGAAAAGCATCTATCAGTCATTCCAAACCGGATACTTTGCAGACGAGTTAATTTCACTATTTTCCAGGTGATTCGTACAATCCTGTCCAGTGGTCACCGAAGCTAGAGCCGTCTGCCTCCGATCGCTTCTGGGCCGCAGACTGAGCTAAAGGTCGCTTAAGTGCACAGAAGTCATGCGTTCTTTTACTGCTGAATGCAACCAATTTCTTGGCGGTGTGGCTGTGAATAGAAACCGCTTTGGCCTTCCCTGTCAGCGGGGTACTACCATATGCTTCCACGCTTGAGGAAGGCGCGGCACCGTCCAGGGAAAGTTATGGGATCAACCCATACTGGACCGCATGTGTGCGCGAATTCCTAATAGCCTATTAAACATCCATTATGATCAAGCAAGTTGTCAATAAGCTTTCAGCTGCGAGCATCGAGTAATCTACGACAGACTGGCTTACATTCCAAAGTGCCCTGCCTTAACAACGAAATGAATTGGAGGGCGTGACGGGCACTGTGGCATG